TTGCTGACCCTCCACTTTACCCAGCATGATCTCCATTTGCAGGGACTGGTTCCTTCTGACAACATGATCGAAGTACATGAGGTGAAGTCTGGCCATTCTCACTTCTAAGGAGCATTCCGGCTGTAATTCCTCCAACACAGATTTGTTCATTCTTCTGGCAGTCCATTGTATTTCAGTATTCTTCACCAACACAGCAATTCTAATACATCAATTCTTCCTTGATCCCCCTTATTCATTGTCCAGCTTTCACATGCATATGGGGTGATTGAAAAGAATGTGGCATGGGCCAGGCAGACCTTGGTCTTCAAAGTGAAATCTTTGCTGTTTAACACTTTAAAGAGGTGTTTTTCAGCAGATCTGCCCAGTGCAATACATCTTCTGATGTCTTGACAGCTGCTTCCATGGGCATTGATTGTGAATCCAAGCAAAATGAAATCCCTAACAACTTTAATCTTTTCTCCATTTATTGTGATATTCTTTATTGGTTCAGTTGGGAGGATTTTTCTTTTTTCTTTATGTTGAGGTGTAATCCATACTGAAGATTATGGCCTTTGATCCTCATTAGTGTTTCAGGTCATCTTCACTTTCAGCAAGAGAGGTTGCATCATCTGCATTTCACAAGTTGCTAATGAGTGTCCCTCCAATCCTGATGCCATATTCTTCTTTTAGTACACGTTCGTGGATTATTTGCTCAGCATACAGATTAAACAAGTGTGGTGAAAAGATACAACCCAGATGCACACCTTTCCTGATTTTAAAACATGCACTATCCCCTTGTTCTGTTTCAATGACTATCTCTTGATCTGTGTACAGGTTTCTCATGAGCAAAATTAAGTATTCTGGAATTCCCACTCTTTGCAGTTTATCCATAATTTGTTATGATGCACACAATCAAATACCTTTGCATAGTCAGTAAAACACAAGTAAACATCTTCTGGCATTCTTTGCCTGCACCTAAGATCCATCTGGCATCAGCAATGACATCCCTCATCTTTGGCAGATCCTTGTCAATATACTGCTGCAATCATTTTTTAATTATCTTTAGCAAATTTTACATGTGTTGTGATATTAATGATATTGTTCAATTATTTCCACATTCTGTTGGATCACTTTTCTTTGAAATGGGTACAAACATGGATCTCTTCAAGTCAGTTGGCCAGGCAGCTGTCTTCCTAATTTCCTAGAATAAAAGAGTGGTAGCTTCCAATGCTGCATCCATTTGTTGAAACATCTCAGTGGGTATTCCACCAATTCCTGGAGTTTTGTTTTTTGCCAGTGCCTTCAGTGCAGCTTGGACTTCTCCTTTCAGTACCATTGGCTCTTGAGCCTGTGCCATCTCCTGAAATGGTTGAATGTTGTCCAGTTCTTTCTGTTATAATGTGTCTGTATTCTTTCCATCTTCTTTTGATGTTTCCTGCATCATTCAATATTTTGCCCATAATGCACTGCCATCGAGTCAGATCCAACTCATAGCGACCCCTCCTTGGGTTTCCAAGGTGATATCACTACGGAAGTAGATTGCCCAACCTTCCTTCCTAGGAGTGTCTGGGGGGTTTGAACTGCCAGCCTTCTGGTTAGCAGTCAAGTGCCTTAGGCACTATGCCACCAGAGCTCCCATTTTGCCCATAGAAGAGCCTCGAGTGGCAATATTGAAGCAATATTGAAGCATTTTGCCCATAGAATGCTTCAATATTGCCACTCGAGGCTTGAAGTTTTTCTTCTGTTCTTTCAGCTTGTGAAATGCTGAGAGTTCTGGTTCTCTAGTGCCGCTCTGACGGGGATATACCGCAAATGGGATGGCTTGACAAACAGGAGTTCATTCTCTTACAGTTTGGAGGCTTTAAGTCCAAGTTCAAAGTACCAGGCTCTAGGGGCTGTGTGAAAGCCCCTCGACCATGGGCTTCAGCTCTTTCTCTTGCTCCCGGCCCACTGAAGCTAGAGGCATGTCTTCACTCAGGCAGCTACTGGCTGCTGAGGCTAACAAGCCCAAGATCAACAAATAAAATGACACAGTCCCGATTTTATCAAACCACACAGCAGGCCATTGATTCAAGTCCATTGACAGTTCCAGGATCAGCAGAGCATGGCGGGCTGCTGAACAACCACTTGACTACATGCAGGGTTCTAGCATGCCATCAGCTGGAGACCATTTCCAAAGCTGTTTCTTATGTATGGGAAGCAGACCACATCCCTAAACCAGCTCCTCAGCTGCTTGTGGTAGGTCCCACCATGGAGTTGATTGCCAGTCTCATCATGGGCAATAACTACCACCAACTGCCCAGCCACTCAACCAGGCCCAGCCCAGGTGACACACAAAGTTAACCACCATGGTTCCACCCCTTGTCAACTTGGCACCTGTACAGATCTTCAATGGGTGGCATCTGTACAGATCTTCTGCACTGGATGACTCCATTCCCCTAGTTCTTTAGTGGTGACCTCACCCCGTTGGCCTGGTAGGCCCCGTCCCTCTCCCTCTTGTGCATGGTAGCCCTGCCTGCTCTCTCTTGGGCAGCAGCCTGACTCCATCCCACTGGCTCACATGAACAAGTAGCCCCACACTCCAGAACCAAGTTGGTGAAGGTCTGACTCTTTGAAACCTAGGGGCTGTGGTGGTTCCACCCCCAAAGGCCATGGTCCTACCCTTCAGGCTAAGGCAGCTCTGCTTCCTGTTTCCTTATTCTCTCTGCTTCTGCCATTTAATGCTGAAGGCAATCCACTCCACTGGGAATCTTTCTGCCCAAAAAGCACTTGGCTTTCTTGCTCCGTGGGCCAGCCAACCTGCTACTCTACTTCGTTGTTGTTGTTGCTATGTGCCGTCAAGATTGCCGAACCTTCCTTCTGTGGAGTGGCTAGTGGGTTTGAACCGCCAGCCTTCTGGTTAGCAGTCAAGTGTCTCAGACACTACGCCACCAGAGCTCCCCTACTCCATTTCATACCAGTCTTTTCTACCAATTAATGCCCAAAGGCAACCCACTCTGCCAGGAAGCCACCTACCCAAAGGCATCCAGGTTTCTCGTCTGTGGCTGTTAAGGCTGTTGCTATCTCATGCTGCTCTCTTGCTCTGCTCCTGCTGTCTCTCATGCCATTTGCTGGCATCTCTCTGCTGGGCGCTTGGGTCAAGGACACTCTCCAGTCCTGTCTCCACATTTTAGGTGTCTGTCAGAGCAGCATCCCACTCTCTTGCTACCATATTCTGTCCTGGTTACCTAGTGCCACTCTGACAGAACATACCACAGATGGGATGGCTTGGCAAACAGGAATTTATTCTCTTAATTCTCTTACAGTTTGGAGGCTTTAAGTCTAAGTTCAAAGTGCCAGGCTCTAGGGCCTGGGCAAAAGCCCCTTGACCTTGGGCTTTAGCTCTGCCTCTTGCTCCCAGCTCACTGAAGCTAGAGGCATTTCTTCATTCAGGCAGCTACTGGCTGCTGAGGCTAACAAGCCCAAGGTCAACAAATAAAATGTCACAGTCCCAATGTTACCAAACCACATGGCAGGCCATTGATTCAAGTCCATTGAAAGTCCCAGAATTGGCAGAGCATGGCAGGCTGCTGAACTACTCGACTACATGCAGGGTTCTAGCATGCCATCAGCTAGAGGCCATTCCCAAAGCTGTTTCTTATGTATGGGAAGCAGACCACATCCCTAACACAGGTACTCAGCTGCTTGTGGTAGGTCCCACCATGGAGTTGACTGCCAGTCTCATCATGTGGAATAACTACCACCAACTGCCCAGCCACTCAACCAGGCCCAGCCAAGATGACACACAAACTTGACCACCACACTGAGCATGTTCTTCCCTTTTGATTTTCTAACTCCAGGTCTTTGCACACTTCATTATAATACTTTACTTTTTCCTCGCAAACTGCCCTCTGAAGTCCTCTGTTGAGCTCTTTTATTTCATCATTTTTTCAATTCACTTTCACTACTCTCCATTGAAGAACAAGTTTCAGAGTCTCTTCTGATATCTATTTTGGTCTTCTCTTCCCTTCCTGTCTTTTTAATGACCTTTGGCTTTCTTCGTGTATGATGTCCTTGAAGTCATCCTACGACTCATCTGGGATGACAGGATATATTCTTTCAATAGTCTCATATGCATGTGAAGGCTGTATAATGAATAAGGAAGACCGCAGAAAAACTGATGCATTTGAATTGTCATGTTTTTGAAGAATGCTGAATGTATCATGGACTGCTAGAGGAACAAACAAATCTGTCTTGGAGGAAGGAGAGCTGGGATGTCCCTTAGAAGAGAGAATGGCCATACTTCATCTCTCATACTTTGGTCATGTTTTCAGAAGGGTCCAGTCCCTGGAGAAGGGTATCATGCTGGGTAAAGAAGAGGGTCAGCACAATAGGGAAGACCCTCAACAAGATGGATGGACCCAGTGTCCACACAATAGGGAGGACCCTCAACGAGATGGATTGGCAGTGTCTGCAACGATAGTGTAGAGCATAGCAACGATTGTGAGGCTGGCACAGGACTGGGCAGTGTTTCATTCTGTTGTACATGGGGTCACTATGAGTTGAAACCAACTTGACGGCACCTAAGAACAAGTGTTACCTCACCTACCTGTGTCTCCTTTGTTCATCCGTAAAATGGGAAAATAAGAGTAACTCTTTCAAAGGGTATTTTAGGATAAATGATTTAATGCATTTCATTTGCATATAGTGAGCTGCCATTTACTATATACTTTCAAAATGAAAAGTAAAACTTTGCAATTTATCTCCCCCACCCCATTCCAATCACAGTGATTACTGATCTTAGAAATCCTTGCCATCAACGTAAGAGAAAACACTTTGCCCACTATAAGCTTTTGGTTTGAGTTTATTATTATCATTATTATTACTAATTGTCAATATAGTATCAAAATTTGGGAAAAGATTTGAAAATTAGGTTCCATTCTTTAAGGCACTAGTTCTAACCATGATTTGTTAAAATCTTGCCTGGCCAATCTGAAATGTGGCAGTCAGTCTTTTTAACACAATTGTTTTCTTTTTGTCAGCAATTTCTTGATCTCCTGGCAGGAGATGAGGAAGAGCACGCAGTGTTGCTATGTAACTATTTTCTGTTCCTGGGCAAACAAGCCTGGCTTGTGATGGGCAATGCTATTCCTGAGGTAAGACCACGTGGGCTGGCTTTCAAGGAATGTCATTGTCTCACTTAATTGTCCTGTGCTCCAGGCCGCAGGCAGGACTTTCGCAATGATCCTTTGAGTTGCTACAAGAGTTATCCAGAGAAGCCATAAGAGGCAGAGAGAACTGCCAGCAATGACACGCGAAATGCCTTGCAGCGGAACTCAGGGGCCTACCCAACACTTCACACAACACTTAAGATTATGTTTTTGGCAAATCTGAACCCACTGTCACCCATAGCCCCCATCTAGCTGTATCCTTCAGTATGAGCTTCCTCCCATCCAGGTCAAAAGAATTTTGAAACCCTTAGTAGCACAGGAGCTCTGGTAGCATAGTGCCTAAGGCACTTGACTGCTAACCAGAAGGCTGGCGGTTCAAACCCACCAGCCACTCCTCGGAAGGAAGGTTGGGCAATCCTACTTCCGTAGTGATACTGCCTCGGAAACCCAAGGAGGGGTCGCTATGAGTCGGGTCCGACTCGACGGCACATAACAACCACAGTGATATCATGTTATTCAGCTAAGGAGTGAAGGGGATTGAAGAAATAGAGTAAGGCTAGAGATCTCTGTACTTCCACACCTTTTGCTTCTAGAGGCACCTGCCACTGAGCTGGCGGACAAAGGACAGGCCAGACAAACACAGGAGAGGCACCTGCCACTGAGTGGCGGGCAAAGGACAGGCCAGACAAACACAGGAGGAAGGAAAAGAATGTTAGTAGCTGTATTCTGCTGTCATCATCGTTATTTTTTTTAGATTGGAGATGTAGTGACAATTAGGCCTTGTTTGCCTCGCTCACTTCAAATATCCCTAACTTTTGAGCACAGTGGGCCGTATAAGGTTAGAGAATCCACACAGCCTGAAGCAGCTTATGCCACAGGTATTTGAAACAGAGGCCATGAAGCTGTATACATCCTTGGGTGTTAGTGAGAGGTGCTGCTGGGCAGGTAATAAAGTAGTGTCATAATTCGTTCTGGTGGCACAGTGCCTAACGGAATTGTCTGCTAACCAGAAGTTTGGTGGTTCAAACCCACCAGCTGCTCTGTGGAAGGAAGATGGGGCAATCTACTTCCATACAGATTTACTGCCTTGGAAACCCAAAGGGCGTCACTATGAGTCAGAATCAACTCGACGGCAGTGTGTTTGGGTTTTTTGGTTTATCATCAGCATCCAGATAGCCCAGTACAAGGGAAAGAACAATGGACTCGCAAGTGCCACAAGGTCTGGGTTTAGGGCTCTGGGCCTCACTCCTCATTACCTGTGTGATCCTGGACCGATCACTTCACGACTCAGAGCTTTATAAGGGAACGGGGAGAATCATTCCGGTCCTGCCTTCTGCAGAAAGCTGTTGAGAGCATCCAACAAAATTGTATGTGAGCAATAAATGGCGTGCTCCTTGTGAGAAATGAGTCCAACAGCACACAAGTATTCCAAGTCCAAGGTTAAAACCCTGCTTCGAGCCCCACCCCCACCCCACTCCTCTCTTTAGGTGTCATCACTGTTAACAGTTTGCTGTGCTTCCTTCCGAATCTTCTAGGCATTTCCGTAATGATACAGGTACATGAAATGGAAGGTATTGTGTTAGAACAACACAAGTAGAATGCAGCCATAGTCAGCCTTTCGGATACTTAAATGGCAGTCGTAGCGACTCCTAACAGAAATGCCAGTGCCAGCTTATTCCCATTACTGCTAGTTCTTCGGCCTAGCTTAAGTATGAGTGATGGGCAAACATGACAACTACCCATATTTGGTTAGTACACTGTACTAGTATCAGGTACAACAATTATGCAACAGTGAAAGTGCAAGTTGTGTTTCTTAAATCCATTGGAACTTAGAGCTTAATCGCATTATTAGTTGGCAAGTGATTTTAATAATTATTTTCCATCAGGGTCCAACTGCCTATGTGTTAACATGGGAGCAAGGCCATTATTTAATATGGAATCCCTGCAGTGGACATTTTTATGGACAATTCGATACATTCTGTCCCCTGAAAAGTGTGGGCTGTTTAATCGGACCTGATAATGTAAGTATTTCAACTCCCTCTTAATCACGGTTAACAACTGCTTCCCCCCCCTTTTTTTTAAATTGACCTACTGATTTAAATAGTATCTTTTCTAATAATATATATATATATGTAGATATATATTACAATAGTAAATATACATATGTTGTTGTTGTTGTTGTGTGCCATCGAGTTGAACCCAACTCAGAACGACCCCTCCTTGGGTTTCTGAGGCGGTATCACTATGGAAGTAGATTGCCCAACCTTCCTTTCGAGGAGATTATATGTATATATTAAAGAGGGGTTGCTCTGAGTCGGGTCTGACTTGCCGACACGTGGCAACAACAGCAAAAATATGTATGACAGCTCTGCCTTGTCAATGTGTCAAGTACAGTGGCAGAGCTGTCCCAAATGACAGTGTGGGTTGGATTAGTCACCTGACCTGCAGAGAAGCAGAAGAAAGATAAAGAAGATGACAGGTGAAGATGACCTGGGTGAGCTGAGGTTTTCTCCTGGATCTGTCCTGTTTTCCCATCCACATCGAGCTTACGGCACCCACCTCACAGTGTTCTGGGAACCCAACGAAGCAAAGCTATCACTTGGGAAGGCTGGGGTTTCTGTTTGTTCTTTCTTTCCTTAAGGGATGTTCCCGGTACCGCAAGATTTATAATCTCCTCAGGTCATTCTGCGTGCACCCAGCGTAGGGGACTCTCTAACCTAATTGTGAAAGGTACTGTATGAAGCAGTGCTTAAAAACATGAGTTACAGAGCCAGACTGCCTGGGTTTCAACCCAAACTTCCTCTTCAACTAGCTATGTGATCTTGGAAATATTCTTAATCTCATACAATCTCGGTCTCCTCACTGGTGGAAAAAGAGGTAATGATAGTCATTACTTTATAAAGTACTTGTGAGAAGGAAATGAGATCATTAATGTACAGCACCTAACACCAAGTCACGACTCTGTCAGCTGCCATGATTGCTTTCAAAATCTCCATTGACCTTAGGGGTCTCAGAGATTTTTGGATCCGTCAGTGAAAATTATTTGAGCATGCAGCCCCAATATATGTATTTTATATAAATTATAAATTTATATAATCGTAAATTATATGTATTTACTTGTACATCAATATATTCTTTACTTATACACACACAAAACAAACAAACAAAAAAACCCTTAAAAGATAAACAGAAACAATAGAAGATCTACTATTGTCTTCCCACATCCTATAATGTACGCCTTTCTTTGAAGACCACTGATCTACTTTTTAGGGTTACTGATAAAAGTAGAAGGAGCTCTGGCAGTGCAGCGCCTAAGGCATTTGACTGCTAACTGGAAGGTTGGTGGTTCAAACGCACCAGCCACTCCATGGAAGGAAGTGGGGGCAATCGGCTTCTGTAGAGAGATAATATAGGCCAAGCACTCAGCTAAATACGAGTCTTTTACAGGCATTCAACAAACGTCAGCTACTTTAATTACAAATGTGAAAGAAGCAGTATGGAGCACTGTTCTCGCGTTAATTACTATTTTTAATTGAAGTCATTATCACCATTGTAAATAATCTGCAAAACTCCAACCTTGTTTAGAAAATAATTTTAAGATCGTTAGTAATCAAGCAGGGTCAGCAGGCTCTGAAAAGCCTTCAGAGAACTCAATTCTCTGTTAAGGTTATGACGACTCTCAAAGCCATTACTGCGTGGTTGAGCAGCTCTCATGAAGATGCAGTTTTGTGCACAAGGAAGAACCCGTTGGTCTCCTCCTCGAACAAGATGGGCCGTGGTGGCTTATGATGGTGGCATATTCCCCTTGGTGGTGCTTCGGAACGGAGGCTATGCCTTGGCTGCTCTCAGCAGAGGATCTCCCCGTTGCTTTGCTGCCCTGGCACCCTGAAACCTCAACTGCCCGCCATTGCAGTACACAACTTCCTCGGTCAGCCTTTCCCTCCTTCACTCCTTTCCAGGAAATCAGTCTGTCCTCTTTCCCCCTGTGCTCCTGTGTCCAGTCCTACTCTGAGACCTGGCTACATCAGGTGTTCCAACTTGCTCCTGCATTTTTTTCTTTTTTTTAATTTTTTAGTTTTTTTAAATTATTATTTTTGCAGTATTTCCTCCCCTTCCCTCCCACTCCTGGCAACCAACAAAGAAAGTTTCCTTCCATATATAAACCTTTCCTTGACTTTTTACACTAATGAACTAATACAATATTTGTCCTTCTGTGATTGACTTATTTCACTGAGCATAATGTCCTCCAACTTCACCCATGTTATGCAATGTTTTGAAGAGTACATTGTTCTTCAGTGTTGCATAGTATTCCAGCGTGTGTATGCACTACAGTTTGGTTATCCATTTTGCTTCTGTAGTTTTGCTGTCTCCTCCTCTACCTATTGATGTGGTCTGGAGGCCAGCAATTCCAAAAGATCCTTCTCTCTCCCCATCTACACCCTAAATTACCATTACCTCTCTTTCCTGCTAAAGTTCTTCAAAGAACAGTTAGCCCTGCTGTCTCTGTTTTCTCGGCCCACCCAGGCCTTACCCCACTACAGTCTAGGAAGTACCATCATCTTGTTAATGCAGGTACACATTCAGAGGTTTTCTCTCCCTTCTCACTGTCCTCTCCTTTTCAGTGGCACATGACACCACTGCTCTTCATGGAAACCACTGTCCCTCCTTGGCCGACTGAGAAAGGACTGTTGACTTTCGTTTCTCAACAATAGCTTTGTATGCTTCCTTCACTGCCTTCTTCCCAGTCCTTAAAAGTAGATGTACCTGAAGATTCTGGACTTAGATTTCTTCCAGGGCCATACCTTAATCTATTCTTTCTTTACCTAGCTTAGCCTGACAAAGAAATCCTACTTCAATAACTACCCCCAGCATCTTCAAGTCCTGAATATCCAGCTGTTTGCTAGACTTATCAGAAACTCAATCCTCTAGGCTCATCAAGACTTTTTTTATATATACTTCCTTCCTAAGAAAACCAAAAAATCCAAACCAAACTCACTGCTGTCCAGTTGGTTCCAACTCATAGCAACCCCTCCTTGGGTTTCCAAGGTGGTATCACTAGGGAAGTAGATTGCCCAACCTTCCTTCCAAGGAGTGGCCAGTAGATTTGAACCTCCAGTCTTCTGGTTAGCAGTCAAGTGCCTCAGGCACCATGCCACCACATAGTTGATGATTCTCAGATTTGTAACTCCAACTCAACTCATTCCCCAGAATCTTAAACCCAAATATCCAACTACCTACTCTTTATTTGGATATAAGATAGACACCTCTGAGTTAATATGTGTAAACTTGAACTCCTGAGTTCCTTTGAGTCTTTCTCATGCCCATAAATGGCAACTTCAGTAGCCCAGATGCTCAAGCCAAAATCCTTGGAGTCATCTCTGATCCTCTCTCTCTCTTCCTCCACATCCTACGCCATCAGAATCTCATGATTCTACCTTCACAATATGTACAGACTGACCACATCTCACCACTTGCAATGCTACCATTTTGGCCCAAGCCCCTTTAGCTCTCCCATTTGGGAGGCTACTTGTTCCTGCTCCCTTCTGTCTAGTCTTAAAGCAGCAAAGAACATTCCTGTTAATACAGAAGACAAACTGTACTACTCCTCTGTGACATATTCCAATAGCTTCGGAGCTCATTTGGGAATAAAAGCCTAAATCTTTAATATGGCCCGGAACATCCACAACCTGACTCCTCACCCCAGTTCTCCACTGATGTCATCCTTTCCCGGCTCACCCGCTTACTACTCAAAAGCCACTGTGTCTTACTTGCCGTTCCTCAAACGCAACAGGCATACATTGCGTTTGCTGTTTTCTATGCACAGAATGGAATCCCTCATCCTGAGTAGCTTCGTAAATTTTCCCCTCACTTTCTGCATTCGTGATCAAATGTCACCTTTCCAATGAGAACTCGTCTCCCCACCCCAAAACTGCATCCCTTGTCCGTCTTTGTTTTCTCTGTAGCCTTGATATCAGTTAGTTATTGTGAAAATACGGCGAAACTCACCCCCAAGCCCAAGGGCTTCAAACACTTACTCCCATGGTCCTACGGGTCAGCTGGGTAGCTCTTCTTCAAGCAGCGGTGGCTGGCGCCGCTCTGCGTCCCAGCGCCGACTCGTGGGTTGGCTGCGACTGCTCTGCTTTGTGTTTGTTCCTTCTGGGACTCAGGCTACAGGGCAGTGGCAATGAGAGAGGCACCACAGTGCAAGCAGGGCACACAGAGCCTCTTCCGGCTTGGACTCAAAGTCACACACTGACACTTCCACCCCACCCTATTGGCCTAAAGTGCAAGGGCACAGAAATATTTTCTGCCCTTTTACTGGGAACAACTGCAAAGTAACATGACAAAAGGTCCCCACGTAGAAAGAGAAGAATTGGGACCAATAATGTAATTCACTGCATTCTGACTTAGCATCCAACAGGCTATTAGATACTGTATGAGGGTAGGAATTCTGTTTGCTTCACTACTTTATCCTCAGTGATGAGAACTGAGCCTGGACATGGTAGGTATTTGAAAATCTCTTGAATGGACGTGTTTACTATTCATGCACACAATCATGCAATGTGTCCACTATACTGCAAGAGCTTTGATAGGTGCTAAAGATACAATGGCCAATAAGACACGTGGTAAATGCCCTCAAGGCAAGAGTCCAAGACTAGTGAGGAGAGCAATGAACAGACACACGTTTATAAACAGTGATAAGTATTATGAAAATGGTTAACAGCTACTGAGCATTCACTATATACCAGGCATTGTTCTATAAGGTGTACATGAACTGAGCTCTTTCTCATCAAACCTGCAATCAAAAGCAAGCATTCAGAAGCTAGATATAAAAACTGGGGAAAAAAATGAATGGCCAAATGTCTGATTCCGTTGATTGTAAAAGGCATACCCTATTTTATAAATCCAAGTGTGGAAAAGTGTGCATCTTAAAAGCATTGAAATACAGCACCTTAACACTAATCCTGTTTGTCCTAGGATCCATGGAGCCCAAAGCCTGCACACATTCTTGTTCTCTCTGTACATATGTTTACATGCACACACACATGTACATACGTCTATCTGCTAACCTATATACTAACTTAGTCTTCTCTTTTTTAGATTTGGTTTAATATCCAACAATATGATTCCCCTCTAAGGATAAATTTTGATGTCACCAAGCCCAAGCTATGGAAATCTTTCTTCTCGAGAAGCCTTCCATATCCTGGCCTTTCTAGTGTTCAGGTATAATTCTTTCACTATTAAATGTAGACAAAGGAAAGGAGTCATTGCAGATCATTATACAGGGTAGGGGAGCTAGACAACTTTTGGTCCTTGTGGCACAAACGGTCAAGCACTCAGCTACTAACCAGAGCCACCCAGTGGCTCTGCAGGAGAAAGAATTGGAGACCTGCTTCTGAAAAGATTCCCAAAACCAAACCAAACTCACTGCCATCAAGCTGATTCAAACTCCTATGACTCCCACCGGGTTTCCAAGCCTATAAATCTTTATGGATGCAGACTGTCCCATCTTTCTTCCACAGAGCAGCAGCTGGTGGGTTTGAACCACTGACTTTTGGGCTAGCAGTCAAATGCCTTAACCACTACACTACAGAGCTCACAGCCAAAAATCTCTATGCCGCAGTTCTACCCTGCTGCATGGGGTCACTATGACTTGGAATTGACTTTACGGCACCCAACAACAATTCAACTCGTAATCATTTAGCCCAGAATTGTGTTTGTATTGCAAACTTACTTGAGCTCAGCTCACAATGAGAAAGATGCTATTATGAACCAGTATACACATAAGCATGAAAGAAAAAGTTCTAATATAGAAAGTACCATACATTATATTCTATTTTACTCTCATTTATAAATGCTGGTCTCAATTCACTAAATTGATTTCAGGACCACTAATGGGAGCTCTGGTAGCATAGTGCCTAAGGCACTTGACTGCTAACCACAAGGCTGGCGGTTCAAACCCACTAGCCACTCCTCAGAAGGAAGGTTGGGCAATCTACTTCCGTAGTGATACTGCCTCGGAAACCCAAGGAGGGGTCGCTATGAGTCA